GCCACCGGGGGTATTGAAGCACAAGCATACCAAAGGCGGTGGTAGGCGTAAAAATAAGGAAGGGAAGAGGAAAGGTACAGGTAATTATTTATTTTGCTTGCGTTATCATTGCTTACCTACGTTTTCTTATCAAATGTACATTTTTATTATCAAAAGTTTGGATGAGATATCATTGATTAAATTCCTCAAGTTTTTTTTAACATGGAAAATTTTGAAACTTATATTTTATTATTTTATATTTTTATTAAATATAAAGCCAGCGGCACACGGTACGTTTTTGCTTACTGGATTCATTGCGAGATAGTAAATTACTAAATATACTGTATGCTGTATGGTGCATTTCTAGTATTTTACTAGCTCGCAATCAATCCAGTAAGCAAAAACGTACCGTGTGCCGCTGGCTTTGGATTAGGAATTGTGTTTTTCATATGATTAATCTTTGTGTATTTTCTCTATTCTGCATTAAATTTAATATTTTGACGCTCTAAAAACTAAGATTTACGGTACAAAAATATATTTGAAAAATTATAACACGCTACACATCTTTGATGAAAATTTAATACAATGAGTTAATACATAAAGTAAATATAATTTTTGAACTCTATATTTTTCTTTATATAGCAAAATTCGTTCTTTTTTTTTCTTTTTTTTTAAGGTAAATCCAATGCTTCTGCCAAAAATAAAAGAAAAGGTAAGATTAAATATATAAAGAAAGTTAAAAAAAAAAAAGAGAAGAAAAAGAAGAAAAGGAGGTGAAGGAGATTAAAGTAAAGAAAGTTTATTTTACAAAACTTGGTTTTTACATTTCAAATTTTAAATGGAGGGTATTTTCATAACTACGTGATAAAAAATTCTAAAAAAATTTGAGACATTGCATACACATTTATTTTTTAAAATTTCAAATAAATCTTGAATAATTGAGAAATCGTTGGATCTTAAATTATTTAAATTCTAAACTTAAAGCTTATTTTTTTTTAAATTACATAAATTTATTTTTGCTATTATTGCATGTAATTTTTCAATTGCAAACATTGTTCTGAAGTGAATATTAGACAACTATCAAGTTGGAGATATTAAAAACAAGAAGATTGATTAAAACTTTTTTGCGTGGGGGTCCGGAGAGGCGGAGTTCTTAGCCAGAGCTCACAAGCCGCCGAAGGCAGCGCGAGCGAGCTGGTTGTTTTTGCCACTTTTCCTTCGAACGTCGCCTTTCCTCCGTTTACCGCCCACCATAAGCTCAATGGCGCGGCCTTCGGTGGACAGTTCCAGTGATTTAACATTCAAATTCTAATTAATATAAAAATGAATTGAGTTCATGAAAAATTACATATATAAGTGTGTATCATTCGAAATATTATAAAGTGCCTTCACCTTCTTTTATATAGTTCTATATATTTCTGTATTAATAATTAAAATTTTAATTTTGATATATTTTTTTATAAACATTCAAGTCGAGATAAATTTTTTCGCTGAAATTCGCTTTAAACAAGCTTCCAATGCGCACTTACATTGTCTTTTATTTGCAGCGATCTTAGTGCCACCGACTCAGCCGAACGTCACAAGATTATCAGATATCTCCGTCATGGTGCGATGGTCGGTGCCGGAAAACAAGGGTCTGCCGATACAATTTTTCAAAGTTCAATATCGGGAGCAGGATCCAGACGGCAAACAGGGGAAGTGGATGACCGCCAATTCCGAGATACCGAATCACGTGCAATCGTTCGAAGTGACTGACTTGCAGCCCGCTCATGCGTATAAGTTTAGGATCGCCGCGGTGTATTCGAACAACGATAACAAGTTGAGCCCGAACTCCATGAAATTCAATCTCAATAGGGATGTCGAGAGTAATTCGCACAAAATGCCAATACCCTTGTTAACCAACACCGAGGCGCTGGGGCCTCACGAAGTGTTGCTGATTTGGCAGAACCCCGACAAGTCGACGGAAATCGAGGGCTTTTACATATATCATCGAGCTTCCACTTCAGCCGGTGATTATTTAAAGACCACCGTCTTGGGTAAGGACGCTAATAACATGACCATTTCTCACTTACAACCCGACACGATATACGAGTTCAAGATTCAGAGCTTCTCCGTGGACGCTGCGTCGGAATTCTCTCAAATATTGAAGCAGAAAACGAAAAACATCATCGTCGAGCATCCGGTTCAGCAAGTGGTGGCGGAAAATAAATTGAGACCGAATGAAAATAACAAGAATTTTAGTATACACTTTATTATCGGCGGCGTGTTCGGAATATCGGCTCTTTTAGTTGCTATCGCCTTTGCAGCGAGATTCATGTATAAAAGAGCGAAGTACAAACAAAGTCAGCAGCCGCAAAGTGAAGGTACGCGGTTGAGTGAATGAATAAAGCGCGATTTTTATGATTTACATAATTTCCAACGACATTAACATTTTCTCTTTTACAGGTAAGCCGATAACGAACGGACGAGTAATGAACGGCGGAGTTACTACAGACTCCAAAATTAACATTACATCTAATCCGCTTGCTGGTCTTGACACATCCGAAGATATAATCCAGCCTAAGGTCAGTATCTGTAAGTAACGACATTTGCACTTTTATTACACGGAAAGAAAGTAACAGAACTAAATTTATTTTATATTCGGCGAACGATGAAAATGCATTGACTATTGTTTTTAAGTAATCTACGTACAATTATCTCTACATGTACTCGATTTTTTTCGAAACGTAATTGTTCATCTTGGTCAGTCACTTTCCTTCCAGGAGTCAGTACGATTCTAGACGAGCGTAGAAAACATATTAATCATATACATAAAAATTCCGTCGTGTTAGTTTAAATCATAAGAGTTAATTCCACAATTATGACGTTTCAATGAAATTTCAGCCGATTTACTATGTATAACTCGACGTTGATTTGTACGCTCGTCTAGCAGCGTAAAATCCGACATCAAATTGTCCGATATATTAAGAAGACTAGTCTTTTCTAGTTTTAGCATTGGTCGCGCGCTGCTCTTTAATTCTACTCGCTCTCTGCACTCTCTCTGGAGCCGCTTTTCTTTTGTTTTTCCGAACGCGACACACGCACGTTACCACTTACACGCTCTAGATCTGAAAAATGAAGCGAACGAACGAACACACGCATGTTTCTAAATCCAGAGCGGACAACAGTCGTCGATGGAAATGACGTCGTTTCTAAACGGCCAAAACAACAATGGCAGCAACAACGGTCATAACAACGGCGATGCAGCCGGATCTGACGTGAACGTCACGTCACATAACGAGCCGTCGTCACTGCTCCAAGGGCCGCTACCTATCGAACAACGTTTGTGAGAATGAACGCAGCTATTGTCTCTGTTTTATAGACGGTAAGATCGCGACCCGATCACTCCGGTTCTCGTAAACAGACGATTTACGCCGGTGATCGCATGATGATCCCCCTTTAGGGAATTTTCTTTCACGGGAAGGAACGCAAGGACATGACTTAACGATACGTTTGTCTCAACGAGAGATTTCGAGAAACTTAACTTATAGACTGTATTTAACATTTAGGTATATTACAATGAAGAGACTGTTGCAAGACATTTACAGGGTGTCTTAAATAGATATATGCTCAAATGTATCGCTACTGTAAATTGGGATTGATTTAGCTTTTGCGAAAAAAAGAAATACATATTTTTACGAGGTTTTTCTCGACACATTTTCGACTTTTTGATATAATCAATTATTGAGTATAATATTGTAAATGTTTTTTCCCTCACGACAGCCGAAATAATCCCACTTTACAGTACACAATTAGAAAGTAAATGATCTGGTTGCATCCTATGACATATTCTTTGTCTTTCTCTTTCTTTTTATAAGAAAATGTTGTTAAGGGTCTTATCCGTTAAGTAGGTATGAAATTCAATTAATGTACCTGCGAAGTAACGACTTAACTGTTACATATCTACTTAACGGCCACAAGCTAGTGAATATTGAATAACGTTGTTTTAATAGTTTTTACATCCTTTTGTAGTGTAAACACTTCTGTATCGCTCTTACGGACAATTTTATGACAATTTTGAAGAAAAATTACGATAAAGACTATATTTGAAAAACGTAGGATATATACGTACAATTATATTAGTTAATTTTTGAAGTTGCCAATGTTGAAAAAGAAAAATAGTGTCAGTTATTAGAAATATCTTTTTTTATAGAATAATGAAAATAATGGTTGAGTCATATATTGTTAACATCGTATAGTTAACATGCCTGTTATTTTTATGATAATATTTTCCTAGCTAAAATAAAAAATCGAGTGATTTATTAATGTGACTCATAATTAATGCACTAATGTATTATTATTGTGTATCGAAATTCCTTGGACGATTATTTGTCAATGTTGTATATAATTAGCCATTATAAATAGTAAAAAGTTTTATCTGAATAAAATTTATGCTTTTATATAGCGGAAAAAGGCGAAAGTTATAAGTACAAAAGTACAAAATTATTTTAATAAATTCATATTTGGTTCATAAAAATACTGCAATTGCATCTATGAATCGACAATAAAGAAGCTAGTGAAAATAAATTGTACATACTAGGATACTTTAAGCGATATGAATGGGTACATGTGCCTTACATCTTGCCGCCTGACAATAATAATTATTAAAAATAATAATTTATATATTTCTGTACATGTATATCATCATTTTGTGTACTTAATTTTTATAAAATAAATTATAATTAAAAAAATATTTTAAAAATGTATGCGTGTGTGTCCGTGTGATGATTTCATTATGAATTTGTTCAATTCAGCTTGACTGTATAATTTTACACTATAATAAATAAAACAAACACAAATAGCACTAAGAGAAAGGATATAATTAACATGAATCTTGTTTTAATTGACGTAATTACTGTTTTCAGAAACAATTATAATAAATTCTAATTAGACAAGAGATATCGAGAATTGGAATAAATATCTTGATGTTTTTGAAAAAATCATAGTTTGGCAAGAGAATTGAACTCGGAATGCCGCGAATTTTTAAATACCTGACTGCCATTTTATGGAAACACGTGACTGTCGCTGACACCTGTGCCTCTTCCGGCACAGCTGATATTCAATCAGCTCGATAGAGTGCGTTCAACAGTTCCGCTTTGAGTGAATTTAAAAGCCGCGTAACCGTAAACCGCCGCGGATCATCGTCACGTATCAGCACGTATGTACATACGTTAGCATCACAGAGAATATTGTCCTTTATATAGATTGTGATGTTCGCAGGTTCTATTGTACAGTGAACTACGAGGTGATCTGCTATTGATCGAGTACAAACGCGAGAAAAACGGCTTGCGAAGACACGTAATGGTACGTTATTCGCACGTTAAGTGTTGGTTCTGACAGTTTGTATATCAGTACATACATTGATTTCTTACGCCCGACCTTACGATAAACTGTAAACATTGCAGAGCCTGAACGACCGGGCGACGAAGGAAACAAATCAAAATGTGCGATTTGATAGATTTAAACAGTCCAGACGTAAGAGGAGTGTCAGACTCGGCGAAACTGGCCTCGCCTCTAATACCAGTGCCAAAAAATGACGAATGTAGTAGCGAATCAAGCTCGTCGGCGACGGAGAAGCATGAGAATCTGGGTAACAATCCATTTGATACAGTATTGCATGAGACCGCTGAGTATATCAGTAAAAAAGGCGATCCCTTTGAAATGATGCTTCAACGAGCCATGAAGTTCAAAAGCAGAAAAAATACAGAGCACCTGAAAGCACAGTCTGTAGAATTTATGGATGATTTTACACCTAAACGTAAGAAAAGATACCAGAAAATGATGAACAAGAGTTTAGATGTATTGGATACATCCTCATTGGAAAACAAGCTGGGTCCATTTAATGGAAACAGAAAGGAACATGAAGAAAGTGTCAATATGACAACAGCTGTCATCTGTGATAATAATGTAACAGAAAATGCATCCGTCCCTGAGAAAAATCATGAAATATTTGCTACCAGTCCAAGCTTGTTTGAATTATCACTTTTAGATATATCTGCGATGGATGATACATTATCAGATACATGTTTTAATTCTAAAGCGAATAGTGACATATCATCGGAAAATGCGTTGTTCAAAAAGTTTATTTTTCCTTCAACTGCTTATCTTAAGCCACCGAATCTACAACATTCATTATCACACAAAGTTGAAAGATCACCGATAAAATTGGTATGTTTGAGTAAGAGATCAAAATCTTTAACAGATGGGCAGAAAATTTTGCAAAGAGTAAGTGATACATCATCGTGTTTGGACAGAGCTTTTGTGGAGAGTAAACTGTCTACTTTTTCTTCTTTATCAAATGTCTCATCTATAACAAAATTGACTTCTACGTCAATTTCATCGTCATTGTTGTCAAATGACACTATGAACCATGCTTTTCTGGATACTGATTTGTTGGGAAGGACAAGTCAGAAAAAAATTAATACAACTGAAAATTCTGAGGAAATAAAAATAAAACAGTGGGACTTATCAGATCTAGCAGAAAAACTGAATAAATTAAAATGTGTTATGAATGAAACAAGCAATGTCTCAAATGCAACGGAAAATAAATCTAATTCCATGAAAGAGGAAAACAGACAAATTACAAATGATAAATTGATAGATGTCGATGTATTTATCCCAGAACAAAATATCAATAAAGAATGTAATAAGAGCTCAATATCAACTAGTTCCTCAGATTCTGTAAGTATTTTTATTATTATTTTACATTGCATGCTGTTTATAAAATTACTTTATTAAGAATGTTTGAATTTCATTACATTCAGCAATCCAAAATTTGAATATAAATAAATATTTGGAGAAATTTCACAGAATTAAATTTAGAATTTTCTTTTAAGTTAGCTCATATTAAGATAAGGAATAAAAATTGATTACAGAATACTGATAAAGCGCATAAATCGATAATAAAGGAGGCAAAAGTGCTTGCAAGGACTTTTGAGGAGTTAGCATTAAAAACCGATTCTAGCGGTAAGTATTTTTTATATTTATTACATGCAATTTTAAAAATAACATAGTTAATTTAAGAGGTTTAATACTTTTTGCATTATCTTGTTTCTTTTTTTCTTTACCAGCTAGTACAAATGATGACTTTATTTCAAATAATACTTTGTGGATGTCAGAATTATTACCGGCGTTTGAGGATGAACCTGTAGTGGATAATTTAATTGAACTACCAGTTTCGCCAGAAAAAAGCATAGAAGATAGTAAAAATAATAGTAAAAAACAGTCTTTCGTAAATATCGATGAGAATTCTCTGAAAGAAACAAGCTCGGAACTTTCTACTTCTAATATAAAACAAACAATTGTAACTTCGTTATTGTCAGATCTCAAAAAAATCGTTAAAACGGAAGATAATCCAGAAGCGAATAAATTATTCAATAATCTGGAGAAAGCATTGAATGTTAATTGTAAAAACAATACAGAATTATTGATGACGTATCTCAATATATCTAATGAATTGCAAAGTCCTCAAAAAACCCTGTCCGAAGATGTCGAAAGATCTGAAAAGACAAACACGGATAAAAACGAGGAAAAAAATGAAAAAATATCCGATGAGAATCTGTGTAATAATGAAAAATTGCCGCTAGACATAAATAAAAAATTTGGAAATACATCGGAAACTGCAACTGTCAGCGATAATAGTTCATCAATTAAGTCTTCATCTTGCAAAGATAATAGTGAAAATGATCTCGATATAAATTCATCTAAAGAAAATACAGGTTGTGCTGAGGAAGAAAATAATCAAACGGATGAAAAGCTGGCAATAGAATTACTGATGAGCCTTGGGAAATTGTTGAGCGGTCAGACTGAGGACGTTACAACAATGCAGTTATTGAAAAATATAGGAAAAGCGTTAAATGTCGTATCAAATAGTAGTAAAATCGAAAGTGAAGTGCAAACCGATCGCAAAATACACAATGTTCAACAAACATCTGTAAAAGCTTCGGAATCTGATCGTACATCACATTCAACAAAAACAGCGCATAGGCGAAGCTTGCAATTAGAATCAAAGTCTAAAGTGAGTAAATTTTTATTATTTTTTACGATCATTTAAATTATTTACGTTTCTCATTACATTACTATACTTTTTATATAGTCGCTCGAAAAGACAAATAGAAAAAGTACATCTGGAATTGATTCACTGTCCAAGAGTACCTCTGGTATGCCAATACGCAAACAGAAGAATACATCCGAATTGGACGACCGCAAGCGTTTGTCGAGCGACCCCAGTCATCCAGTTAATAAAAAGACCACGATTTCAGAAGCATGTAATGTGAGAAAAGGTAAATTATATTAGATATATTTCATGCATTATTTAATAACTGCTCGTTTCATATGCAGATAATCGAAATTGAATTATGTATAATATTCTAGCGAAAGTGTCACAGCTTGATACCAAGAAGGAAAAATCTATTGCTATAAGTGACGTTAAGAACAAACTAAAGAAAAAGTCTGAAGTAATCAACAAAAAGGGTCCTATGAAGGCGGTGCATCCTGTGGATAGCATGCAAAAGAAAAGAGGTACTTAATCTGTTGAAAGGATTTTAAAAATTTCATTTTTTCTTGGTTACTAATGATAGTTTCTAGTTTATTTTAAAATTGAAGAGTCATGATTATGTCATTATATATAAAAAATTAAATTAATATATTATTAATTGATGAATAGTTTCTAATTCACTAATTTATATCATGCTACAGCATCAATCGGGAGACATACATCGTCTTCTCAAAGCACTCCACCCAAAGTCAACAAGAGTACTTCTCGTAGTAAAATAATCAGCAGCACTCCGAATTCAATAGACAATAATTATTACATGCCTAAAAAGCCTACGAAATCTAAACCGGTGGCTTCATCGACACCAGATGGTCACAATAGCAAGACACTGGGCGCGCAAATAATGTCTACTAATAAAAAACGTAATATTTCTTGCGAAATTTCACCGGTGACTATGCATGCAAACACGAATAGCAGTGATGAACGGAAGGATAGCCCAAAGAGGTAAGAAACAAACTTAAAAAGATAAGCTACGATTTATCAAAAGCAAAGTAGAGGAGGAGAAAAATAACGCGGTACACAATTATGATGCGTGAGATTCGTGTATTTTAGAGTATCCAAGTTGCCAACTCCAAAGAAATGTACGACACCGAATCGTCAGCAAGGCATCCCGAGGTACTCCGCATCGCCGAAACATAATTCGTCATTCGGGGTAAGCCATCAACGATCTCCAAAACGTTTGAACAGGAGTTTGACAGATTACCAGCGATACTCACCTGTCTGTCAGAAAAAGAGTGACGAAAAGATACAGCAGAGTCCCTTCAAGGAAAGTAACAGAGACAGTACGAAAGTAAAGCCATATAAATTGGTACGTATATATACAATACTTAAATGTATAATGAATACACATATACTATACATGCAACATGCACACATAAAAGAAACATATATTAGGTTTATAAAAGTTTTTTAATTTTTTTTATAAAAATTTAAAAAACTATATTATAAAAACTAACATATAAAATGAATCAGCCTTGAATTAACTTATTTCATATTTTTGTTATATGCAGATTTCCAGACTTAGGCGGCACAGTACCAGCGAGTTCGTTGAAAAGGAAAATAATTACGTTTAGAGCGGAGCGAAGATCTAAACAATCGTCATAAGGAATTCAGTTTTTTTTTCATTTTTTATATTTGTGATATATTTGTACATTTTATAATAAAATATGCAATTATTAAAATTTGCGCGAAATGTGCCATTAGAATGCAAACAAATGCAAATGCACAAGAATTATTTTTGTTCAAATTTTATTTAGATTATATAAATGATTATATGATTTAGATTATATATATATATAAAATATGTGAATCAAATCATAATACTAATAATTTTTTGAAAATTGTTCTAAAATGTTACAGTTCTGTGGCATGCTTATTGATAAATTCTAGAAACAGAAAAAGGTAACAGAATAATGCAAATTGGTAATGCTTATAAAGTATTTAAAAATAAAAACTCTATTTTATCATATACAGTGTGAAAAATTCACTGACATCCGTTTATGTTAAATCTGAGATTAAAATGGAGTAAAAAGATAATGGTCTGAAACTGATAAAATTTATACTGCTGCGCATGCGTAGGAAAATACTATGATCTGAGAACCTGTCAAACAAGAGTTTTGGTTAGGAACGAAAGATAATAGCGCCCCACTTCAGAAATGATAAAGACATGGAATATCGCGAAGGTGCCGTGCCCCATATTTTCTAAAGTTCAATTAATCATGTTTCGTGCATTTCTTAGGGCCATTTTTTCCAACATCGGTTAACGTTAACCGACGATTTCTCTTTGTTAATAGAATTGCTAACATGAATGAAATATGGTCATCAAAAAGGAAAAAGATTTTCGTCACTTTTAACGAACATATTTTATTCTTTATGTTAGCAATTCTATTAACAAATTGAAATCGTCGGTTAACATTAACCGACGTTGAAAAAAGTGGCCCTTATTCTTCTTTGTATTTATTTATTCTCCATGCTTACTTATATAATTTTTATTTGCGAAGCAAAGCAGAGCGCGCAAGTAAATTTAAACTACGTTTGCGAACATTGCAAATTAAAATCAATATATTTCATTTAAAAGATCAATTCGTTTGATTTTGATTTCATTGCAATTCATTATCATTGCGACGAGAAGATGCAACGCGTTACAATTTATTATGAATTTGACACGGCTATGCAAATTTATGTGAACAGACTTTAAGGCGCCTGGCTCCGAGATGATCTATGTACGGGCTTGAGCGAGAAACCCGACAAAAACTTCCGTGCCATCTTGGCGGTCCCTCCATATCACATTCAGTGCGACCGGCGTTCGGACACGCGTTTGTTTTTTCCGAAATTTGGTAACGGCCGGTAACGTGCGCACGTCGGACCGCGCGGAAACGATTCGGCAGCGATCGACGAACGTGCCTACTGCGCGAACGCGGCGCCACATCGGGGTCTGCAAGCACTCACAGGAAATCATTCCGCTCAGATGTGCGCCGTTTCTTGCGGTTGTCGGAGCGGTTGAAGTTACCGGCGCGCCAGAAGCTACTCGCTGCCGACGAACGTCGCCGCGTTATTTTCTCAGCATTAAAACCGTCCGTTCGAGTGTGTCGCGTGTGGTATAAAACCGAAGATGACAATGTCTGTAAATGTAGACATCACGAGCGAAGGTCGACCGGGAGAACAACAACATGTTGCCGTAACTGGGTAAGTTTTGAGCAACGATCGCGCTGCTCTGCGCGTCGCGAAAGAGCGAAACGCGTTATCGGCGATCCGATTCACAGTCGTATCTGTCGTGTTTCATCAACATTGCTGCGTATTTCGATTCGCAATTGATCGCGATCTGGCCGCGGGGACCCCCAGTAGCGATCGGGTGCACACAGAGCGCAGACGAAACGGCGCACGACGCTGTCGCGCGCGCTGAGATGAGCGTGCATGCGTCTCAATGCGCGATCGACATTGACGCTTATCGATATATACTCTGCGCCACGTACGGACGTGACATTGTGACGGCGTCCCACGATATTGCCGCCGATATCGACAACGTTGCTTCGATGACAATAAACGCTGCATCGCGAGCTTGGAAAACACGACGATGAACCGAGATCAGTGCGTGAGCCGTGCCGGCATACGTACACAGTGTGAAACGCATGACACACGACGCACACAAGCGCAGACGGCAGCATGGACGTAGGGCGCGCGCGTACACACACAACGGTGTTCGCGAGAGTCGAGCGCGTCCGCCGTCGCCTGTGCGTCACGGCGGTATTCGCATAGTCGCGACGGCTGTGCGAGGTCCGTTGGAGGTTAGGGTGGCCATTTTCTCGCGCGCGTGCTTCCTTCCGGAACGACCGGTGGTGTTTTCCCCGAAGTTGTTTCCGCGCCGCGCTCTCGATCATCGTCTCGCTTCTCGCAATCGCGCGGAATCGCGTTACGTCACGTGGTGCTTCGCTCGCTCGTTTGCTCATCCGTTTTCGCTAACGCGCCCGTGCGGACCGCGAACCTGAAGAAGGTGGTGCGCACTTATTACGCGCTTTCGGCACCGTAGGTAAGCGGGCGCGTGCCTCCCTGGGACGCGCGGAAAAACGCCCGGATCTCTCTCGCGGTTTGACGGCGCGTGAAATGTCTCAAGTTCCGAGTCCCTTCTCGCGAATCGTTGCGCGACAAAACTTCGTCCCGGCGCGGCGCGTACATATACATACATATATACCGGCGGCCCGTTGGCCATTGTTTACGAGCGCGAGAATTGGCCGATCGCGACGACCGTCATCGGGCGGACGGCCGCACCGGACGCTCGCGATTGGCCCGGTATAGGCGCGGCGCGGCCGGGAATTCCGCGACAACTTTGAGCTAGATTTCGCGGACGTGTTTTTCTCCCCGGAATTGCGACGCCGAGAGAGAGAGCGGACGCGCGCGGAGGGTGTGAAACGCGCATCTCGCGGCACCCGCAGTTCGATGTTCGATCCGCGCGGCGCGCCGCGCCGCCGGCGAGAGAGAGATTATCACGCGCGCGCGTGTGTGTCCTTCGGCGCGGTGCAACCTCTTTTTTTTTTCCTCTCTGCGTACGTACTTTGTCGCGCTCGGTCCGCGGTAGTGTGCGATGAGAGTGCGATAAGAGAGCGCGCGCGGGATCAGATTTAAAAACTTCTCGGAAGAGCGTCGTCCGGTGTTCTCGATAGACGGACCCGATAGAGATAGGAGCGATCATCATCGGCACGACGACGTAACGCAATGCGTCGTCGTCGTCGTCGTTCGTCGTAAGTGGCCGAAGATCAGAGAGAGTTAGCGCGCGTCTAATTAAAGGGGTCGCTTCGGTACGAAGTGACATTTGGCGCGTTTCTCGGAGACGCCATAATTCTGCGATCGACTGACGATCCCTTCGATCATCCGCAACGTTCGGTGTTTGTTTCGGCGGAATTTCTCGGGACTTTTGCAGTTCGCGCAACGGAACGCGCTTTGTGCATGCGTCGCAAGTCAGGTTCGGAGGATCGGATTTATCGGGCGCGCGAGAGCACGCGGCGGTGATATCGCACGCCAGTAGGTGCGAGCGAGAGCTCGATAGAGCGCGTCGTCGGAGCGACGGAGAAAAGTAGAGTAGATCTGCGACGGCACTCGCGCGCGCGGTGAGAGGAAGGCGCGATTCGATGCGACGCGGGCGGACGGACGGACGAACAGAACGAGAGCAGCGCATTCGGATATTGAAAATAATATACGCAGCTACGTGGTTTTCCGCGACACGCGTGACGACGTGGAATTTAAATTTGGTATCGGCGTTATTGGTGCACCGGGACCGAGACGGGACGGCGTGGCGACGCACCGGCGCGCAGGCACGCGACGGGCACGTCGGGAAAAACGGGAGCGCGCGCGTTCACGCCGAAACGAAGAGGCGCGGACCGCGCGATCGCGAATAGTCATCGCGCATCTCGCATTTCTCCTGAAAGTCATAAATCTCCGCTTGGTTTTCGAAGGAACGAGATCCCCGGTGAGCATTGTCAACAGCAACATCGCAGTCAGCCCCAACCCCGGCAGCGGAGCGGTAATACCGTGCAGCAACGGCCGGCGGCGGCCGGCGGGCGAGCCGCGGCGAAGAGAAGAGGACCTCAAAAAAAAGAGAGAAAAAAGAGGATCCTATCCCGCGCACGAATGACGAAGATGCAACGACACCCGGTGCAGCCGGCGGCGGCGGCGTCGTCGGCGACGTCGACGACGTCGACGGCACGGATCACGCACGAGGAACACATACTAGAAGCGATCGATCAGCTGCGTCGACGTAAAGCGCGCCCCGACGCCGATCGCATCTGTAATTATCTGCTGCGCAACTTCTCGGTGGACGCGCGCGACACAATCGCCGATCTACATCAGTTGATCGAGGTGGAGAAGGTGATTCAGGTTGACTATAAGGGTAACACGAGTTATCGTAATGCAAAGAAATGGTCGCGCCTGCAGCTGTTCAAAAATCGCCCGGAAGGCTTTCTCAAGGAGAAACTGAACTCGAGCTTGGTGTCGAGCGCGGTCGCCGAGCTTGTCGTTGAGGAGCCTGATTACTTAGACCAGGGCGTACCGGCTGGCCGTTTGATCGAGCAATTGCTCAACGGCGTCTCGAGCCCAACGTCGCGTCGCGTGGTCGAGGAGTTCCTTGGCCGGGAGGTTGCGAGCGGCAATCTTGCGCGCCTGTCCAACGGCAATTACTCGCTGGTGGCGACGTCCGACATGACGACGACGGACGCGACATCGTCGCGATGCGGCGGCGACACGCAGCCGACCACCTCCGTCGCCTGCGCCCTGGAGAACGGCAAAGCGGCGCAACGGCGCAACGTCGGTAAGGAGACGGCGACGAAGAGCAACGGCACCACCGTCCGCAATGGCAACGCCACCAGCAACGGTACCAACGGTTTAATGACGACGACGACGACGAAAGGGTCCGCGGCGGCGGCCGAGCTCTACGAGTTCAACGAGACAGATAACCTCACTGACACCACGTCCGGATCGAACACGCCGCGGTCGTCGTCGCGGCAGGCCAGCAACAGCCCGAAACTCGAACAGCAGCAAGATTGCAAGATCAAAAAGGAGGAATGTTACGAAATCGTCGACAAGAACGGCAGCGGCACGTCGTCGCCGTCCATCGACGTGGTGTGCAACGGTGACGGACAGGAGCGTGACCCCCAACAGATAACAGTGCCGAAGACGACGACGTCCGATGTCGGAAATGACGCCGTCAAGCAGGAGCCTAAGAGCAATGACGTTCAAAAGCCGACGGCTAACCTCAAAAGATCCGCCAAGTCCGAGCGCAAGCAGCGTCTCTTCGCGAGGACGGATGATCGGATGGACATTGAGTTTAAATTTGATGATTATCAGCAGAGCAAAGAAGAGAAACGCGACGAGGCCGGCCGGCGGTCAAGCGAAGATCGTGAGGACGAGGACGCCGGCAGAAGTTCATCAACGAACACATCCCCGACTCCGTCCAACGTGAACGCTGGTGGATTTCGTAGCGCCAGGAGAAAGGTAGTGTAAACATTTCTCTGTGACATTGTTTATACAATAAAAAGATAAGCGTTCTGTGAATATTTTTAAATGGATTTTGTTGGCATATAGTGATTTTATTTGTAAGTAAATACATTTTGATGCTCCATTCAAGATGGAGATGAGAAAATTCATGTATTTATCGGCACGTGTATGATCCTATTTTTGAAAATTGGAGACAAATTTAACATCTCTGAAAAAGTGGACGATTGATAACAACTTTTTGTGGCAATAATTCTTTTAAAATAAATTCTTTTCTGTAACAATTTTCATATAAAATTTTTAGAAGAGAAATCAATACAAAAGTAAGTAGACTTAAATTGTTTGTTTTTCTCTTTTAGAGAGCCAGGAAGGTATTTGATCCTTCTGATAACAATCTAGTGAAACGCAAACGTGGCAGACAGCCGGGTAGTCACAATAAAAATTCTCTAATGCAAGACTCGCAAGATTCTGCCAAGGCAGCTGTCAAAGATGGTCCGTATAGGCAGTGTAGTCTTTGCGCCAAAGATAAAGACGAAGCTCTTGTGGCTTGTAGAGACTGCACAGTCCGAGGTAAACAATTTGAATCCAATCAGTTTGTCTCGACTAATCTTTCTTATCAATATTTATATCGGCATCATATATTCACAGCGCATCCGAGTTGCATTTACAGTCCGGAAGAAATGATTCAGAAAGCCAATACAAATTGGCAATGCGAGCGGTGTAAAACGTGTACAGTGTGTTGTGAAACCTCTGAAGCTGTATGTTGTCAATGCATTTTGTACGATATCTTATGTAATTCAATTTTTATTTAATCAATTTTTCTTTTTAGGGTCCATTAGTAACTTGCTTCAACTGCGATGAGGCCTATCACTTTTTCTGTCATACATCGCGTGTCACGATATCAAAAACGAATTCCAAATGGTACTGCAACGATTGTACACAAAAGCAGCATTGCAAGACGAACGATAGTCAAAACTCTAATTTAGTCAATGGAGTAAGCAGACCGGACAGCCCGTCCAATGCACCTATCCTACCACCGGTTCTTAGTCCACAAGTTTCTCCCACCAGGGGTTTGGATCAAATAGAGGAGGACGGTCCTAAAGGTCCTATTGATCCGAATATTCCTGACGCGAGAAATTGGACCTCCGAGCAAGTGTATCAATACTTTGCTAGATTGTTCCCCAAAGAAGCCGAAGTTTTTCGACAGCAGGTAATTTTACTAATTTTATTAAGCACGCAAAATTGCCCTATGCGCGCACAGTGTTGCGATATATTGATACCGATACCGATTCACATTTTTGTGTTACAGGAAATAGACGGCCATGCGCTTCTAATGATGAGTCGAAAGGATGTGCTGTGTGGACTTAATTTATTATTAGGCCCTGCCTTGAAAATATATCGACATGTTTTAAAGTTGCAATTCCGCAGGGACGATCCAGCCCTGTATTGGCAATAATGACAATGTTTCGCGTGAAAATTGATCTTTACATTACGATTTGAACTATGCAAAGATTTAATTTGTAATTGAATTCACTGCAATTCGTTACAAATTAAATTTTGTAGATTAATGTTGCGATCTAGTTCAGAATCATTCTAATCGATAGATATATTTGTCATTTTCAGTAATTTTACTTGTTTAATATGAGAGGTGGATATTCTTATCAAGAAATCTATTTCCTTCATTCAAAATCTTCATTCTTAATTACGTATTATATACATTATAATATGTAATGTTTATTAGGAATAAAGATTTTGAATGAAGGCAATAGATTTCTTGTAAGAACATTTACCTTTTATAATGACCTTTTATTATTATTGAACATGCAAAGTGAATTTGATTTATTCCTGACCTTCATGATCGAGATATTCTGAAAGTTTTGAAGTACATGTGAAGACGATTGAGCTCTATTGGCAATAATGTAGACGATATCTTGCATGAAGTCGATCTTCGCAACATCGTATAAGTTATATATTGTACAAATTAAGCCTTCATATAGATTAAGATCGCGATATAACTCTGTTTCTAGACACTGTCCATGTTGTACATACGAGATACACGAGATATATCGCTTAAAGATCTCAACGGGCAATTAGTCGCAAGCTGAATCGTCATCGGTTCTTTGATGTATATTGCACGCGCAATTGTGTATATCTTAATGTACATACATTCCGCCTTTTTCATGCGCGGTGTTTTATAAAAAAGGAGTAGATATTTTCTATGCAAACTGTTACATTGTTAATGTTAAATCTAGGTTTATACTGAGAATTATAGAGGCTGTTTGTTCAGAAATGAAAAACGATTGGACATGTGAAACGGAAAGAGAGAAATCGCTGACTGATTTTATATGACTTTGCGTCACATAACAAACTTGGGTTTTATTTCCAGGTTTTACACACAGGAGTTAATACACATTGATTTGTAGAACGTAATTGTAAGATAACTATTATCTTAAGAAACATACTTTGGTTTTACATGTACTTTTCTATTATGCAATAAATATTTTGATATCTATAAATACATTATAATAATAACATTTTCAGGGACTAGCATCTAATCGTAGATATATCTTCTCGAGATATATACGGAATATGCAGGAATGCTCTAGTTACCTTCAACAAATTACGCTTAAAGAGGAAAACACGTAAAATCTTACTCTCTACCCTCGCGGGGGTACATTCGACATATCGATAACAATAAGATTTAATTCAAGAATTACATATAAAAGTCTTGCAAACAGGAACTTGAACGTTTACTTTTGTACGATACATATACATTATGTTTCTAGATCACATGTAAATTTTCACGAAATTTAATTTGAAACTTTCAAAAGACTGCGTCGCGACACTAAATTGCTGCGTAAGTATACTTTTAACATATTCTTATACATATTTCGTTATCCTATACAGAGATAATAAAAATTCGTTATTAATAGCTAATTTCTGTGTGAGAATAAACAGTGAATTCATGCTCTGTAAACGGAGCCGCAACGAAATAACCAAAATTTTATAACAAATATAGCAAATAATATGTAACTAATGCGCGCCGGCATCGTAATGCTATATTTCTTTGGTTGAAGACTAATAATACTTGAATCGCGCATTGCTGACGTTGCGGAAGTGCGTTATTAATACATATACCTCATAATATATTGCCTTATGTACGCTATAAACAAGTTCTAACTAACATATGATATGACGTTTTATCAAAATTCTGAAAAGATTCGCGCGAAATGCGTGTATATATCAAAATATATATGTCCGATGTAATTTATATTTGTATATATATCGTAATCCTCAAAAGACAGCTACCGCAATTCTCGTGTAAGTACGAGATGCAAGATATCGATTGCCCAAGCTGCAGGACGAGTGTCCGGAAGCGGAAAAACAATATGCATTGTCGAAAAATCTGCAAATGCAATTCTAATCTATCCAGCGGAAACACGAAATCGAAAAATTTCCACACAGAGAATTTCGCAGATTTTTTTTTCCACGAGGTAAAGACACGAATATTTATATAATACAAAATATTTATATACTTTACAATACTTTTTATAGACAGATTTGAAATTTGACTAATGTATCACGACGTGTATAAACCCTTTAGCTATCTCCATGACTTGTGTTGTACTATCATCATTTCGATCCTTGAGTGATGGTTTGTCGCGAAACAATAAAAAGGATCAAATAAAACATTTTGATTGCATATTGTCAGCGGGAAACTTTACGTCCATTTCTTTTGCAAATTTGAACTTGTTCGTTGTATGGTAATTATATTGGTTTAGAAATACGCATATCAAATCATGCAAATTGCATTCAGAAAAGACGAAAAAGTTTCGTAATTTTTTGATATTAAAAGTAGCATCATTCTCGATATATACACACTTCGAAAATTATCAGATCAGTCAGTAATGCAATTATTAACATAAACCCTTCGAAAAGCTCGATGTTTGAAAATATTATATTGCCGAATAAAGCTTCTTCTGTCGTTTTATATATTATTTTACGATTCGTATATATACATATATTTTAATAAACATGTTTAAATATAATATCACCAACTACTTTATAAAAAAAGAAAGAAACAGTTTAACTTCCCTACGCCATTACTGTGAAATGCGATTTAAGTTTTCAACGTGCGATTGCGATGTAAACTTAAAATATTCACAGTAACTGATATCTCTGTATCATTGCATTGTATTATGTTAAGTCTTTTGAAACGCGGTACAGTCACGTTAAATCTTCATCATCATGATTTAAATAGCATTGTAAGCTGGTTAAAATCCTCAATAACTGAGCGATTAATCGTATTTAGGTGGCGGCTCTTTATACATCGGCGCTTCGTCCGGTGAATACATTTCGACTTTGGACAAGATAGGTGTGTCATCGATTAACACATGTTTGTGGGACTGTGCTATTGAGCCAACGTTTTTCAATGCACAAAGCCACATCATGGTCAGCATCAAGGACACTCCTATACAAGAAGCGAATAGCCAACAGGGCATCATAATACCCCAATACGGTACCTTTACCTGCTTCTTAGCAAGATAGTTCAACGCCCAGTGGACCGAGAAATCCAGGTTTGATCCGACTTGTTCGGTTTCACCAGAATAGTCAGAAGATAGAGCATAATCCACAGTCTGCTTATATTTTTCACATATATGTGAATATCACAAATATATTATTATTGTTGTACTATTAATGTAATTGATAATTAAAGAAACATTAAACTCACCCCAGCGTCCATTGGTACAGTTTTGACATAAGTCTGCGGCAATTTGAAGCCGTCAGAATCCCACCAACCAGGAAACAGCTCCTTGCGTAATCCAGGATCGGTTAATATATCATCTGGCATATCGGGCGACATTAGCAGAACATTGGAGTCAATGCCTTCCTCCATGCACATGGCAATTGAGAACAGAGACAATAGATCTGAAACTCGCTGCTTAGCCATGAAATCACAACCGGTGCTACAGGCATAGCGATCTTGCAGGTTTGTGTACGCCTCGGTGCACGCTGTTGCAAAAGCAATTAAACGTATTATAAAATGTATCATAACAGTTTGAATATTTTCAACAGCAAATGCAAAAATAGTTTTACATAGAAAGAATACAAATCCTGTTAAGTATATGAATGCATTTGCACTTCATTATAAATGAACACAAAAAAATGTGTATATTTTCAAGAAGTAGAACGATGGATTAACGTACAAGCCTCACAAGCATCCCTAGTGCCATTCAAACTGCTCAGCTCCAATCCGGAATGCAAGTCGACTAGATTGAAGAACCTGCAGCCTCGCTGACAGCAAGACTTCACGTACATGTTCTAAAATAAAATTATCAGTTGCACAAATAAGTGTGGGATACGTAGTGCAATGTAAAATTCAACAAGACACAGAGCTAACGCGTACATTTGAAAAACCAGTAGGAGTCTTCTCACACAAACTGATGCAAGGATCCTCGCGATTCAACATATTATAAAACGTATCTCCGTGAGTCGATTTTGCAAACAGCATCATCAGCAGCGCAGCGATTTTTATATCTCCTCGCATCTTGGAAACAGCCAAGCTGAACGCTTCGAGATTCAAGTTCTTATTCTGGATTTCTGCCTCTTTTTAAGGAGGCAGAATATCCTCACTCGCTAAGAGCACGGTATTAGCACTTCTCAATTCACTTTTTTGTTTTCGTTATTGATATTTACGAGTTTTTAATTTCTTGTTTGTGTTTATCTTCGCCACGCTGACGCTGCAATTTTTCGAGATACTGAGCGTGTTGTCAAAATAAGTCGTCAGACTCACAGAGACACGATCCCGGCGTACGAGGTTGACAGACGGCGGACGAATTCAGACGAATTGGAACGAATAATCGAGCGAGTATCGATTTGATTAAGGTAGGAACATAAGATACTGCTTCCCTGACTCGTGCGCGCGGCTGTCTTAGCAAACCGACCAATGGGACAGCTGAATCGCGGCTGTACTTCGGTGGTACTTAAATTTATATAAAAAAGTTGCGGGATAATGTTATAATCAATGTTATGTAAAAGTGTTGGCAACACGTTTGCTTTATTATGGATATTTTAGGTGATATTGTGTGACGCGACAGATAAAGTGCATTTTTTCTATCAATAATGCGCCACACATAATTGCTATTCTTTGGCAATAAATACACGTAAATTTAGCAATAAATTTTTCCATAAATAAATTTTTATTTGATATTTCGTTAATCTTGATTTTGAGTTTACAGTTTAAATTTATGGCTGCTTTATACTAAATTTCCAGTCCTTTCTCGAACACGAGAATATAAGGATGAATACAAGTGACAGTCATGTTGTATATATATATATA